ATCACTAAAGCATATCTCTGATGATTGGTAGCAATCTGATGATTGACAGCCACTTCTGGGTCACAGTTGCTGGCTGGCTACAGTCCTGAGGGCCACTTGGCAGAACAGAAAACACCATGTTCTGTGTTCAGCTATGATGGCATTTTGAGTTCTGCATGTGTGAGTTTAACAGGGGGTTAAAATATTTGCCAAGAGAATCAATGAGCCTCTATCTACCAGACAAGAAAAGATTATTGTTTATATACTTGGCCTTTCCTAAGTAACACATGATTATTTATTTAGAATTTTTTATTATCTTCAATATTACAAATAATCTAGATGGGCCAGTGAGATGATTCATTGAGTAAGAACACTTGCTTATGTTTGCATAGGATCTGAGGTTGCTTCCCAATACCCAGGGCAAGTGGCTGATAGCTACCTATGACCCCAGCTCCAGGGGACTTGAATGCCTTCTTTTGGTCTTTGTGTGCACTGGCACGCACATATACCCCCACACAAACACAGGCACAAACATACACATAATTAATACTGAATATATTTTAAGGTTACTTAGAAATGATTTCAAGTATGCAGGAGGGTGTGTGCAGATGGTTTGCCAATACTGAGCATTTCTGTTAGATTCTTGATTATCAGTGGATTTGAGAACCCTGGGGGAGGGGATCTTAAAAGCAATCCCCTGGGATTACTGGTAGGAAAGTATATGTAGTTAGACATATTTGTTAAAACTGTGTGCTGCACATTTTTACAAGTCATTACCTTTGCCTGCTTCCCTTTTTGATTTCTAGAAGACATTTGTGAAAGAAATGAAGCCTTTGCTCGAAGATGCAAACACTCAATTTCCAAATACAATTAGCACTTGGAATTTGCCTCTCCATATTGAAACTTTGAATAGAGGATCCATCAAGTTGGCACAGTGTCTAAATTGTGAGTCCTGGTTAGGATGACTTTTCCCCTATGAGGGTTAGGAATTGATTCTGTTGTTTTCTTCAAGATCCTTTTAGCTAGCCCCTTTTTTTTTTATAATGAAATCTTTAATCCACTTGGAGTTCATCTGTCATTTGCTTGAGGAGTGGGCTCAACTTAATTTTATTCCAGATGGTTCAACATACTATTTGTTTAGTAGAATTTCTAACCTTTTACATCCTTATATTTCTAAAATAAACTCTTCTTGGGCATGCTTTACTATTACTCCAATACACATAGACTATGTAATTTTTGAGTGTGTATTTTCATATATTTATGTGTACATGCAAACATCTGTCTGAATGTACAAATGAAAACATACTTTTATAGTTTTCTAGCACCTTGCTTAAGGTTTCTGCTTGTGGTTTATGAGTGAGATCAGTCTCCTTTTTTGTCTTTCACTATCCATTTTGAGTTTCTGGCAATGAGATCACGGAGAGCTCATAAAAAAACACTGAATACTCATTTCTATTCATCAGTTCTCTGAAATGGTTCTAAAACTATATGAACTTGGTGCTTTCGGGTTAGGAAACACTAGCATGCCAACCAATTTTTAATTAAATGAACTTCACAATTCTTGAGAAGATTTTGTTAGTTTCTTTCCTAGAAGACAGATTTCTTTTTAATCCCAGTTTTTTTTCTCTCTCTTTAGGCTTAAGATTCTAAGAAACAGTCTGTTGCTTCTGTTTTCTTTGCTAACACTATTTATTGAGAGTGTTTCCTCTTTTTGTCTCATTAATTTTCAGATGGCCTAAGGACACATGAGCTCAGCATTTTGGTGGACTCCATTTGGGGAATTTTAGGGTCAAAGAGGAGGATGAAGAAGACATAGACAGAGATGAAGGGATGAAGGAGAAGACACACACAGATCAAGAGATGGAGGCAAACAGATGTGGTGCTGCCACCACCACAGGGCAGCATGATTCATCTTGACAGGTTAGCAAAACTCTCCACTTCATAATGCCTCTTTTTTCTCAAATAAATGTCATCGTTTCCATTTTGTTTATTTTCATTTTTGTAGAAATAAATATCACATTTATGTCATGGATCATTATGACAATTAGATGAATGAAGACCACCCCTATCTACCTCTACCCCCAATTAAAAACATTTCAAGCAGCATGGGTGGTGTGTTCAGTCAGTATAATTAATTACTTTGATCATCTCTGCATCACTGACTAACAGACCCAACCTTGAAGGAAACACCAGAACACGAGAACATGGCTGTCATAGACTTAAACATACATGGTGCCTACCCCACCCCACCTTACTACCTGGCAATCTATCTCAGGTTGACAGCTCTCACAGCTCCATAAGTAAATGTAAAGTTGCCATGGAATGAAGTTGGATGACTTGAATATGGCTGTGTCTAGGATGTCACAAACTTTCTGAAAAGTTCATTCTTCCCAGAGATTTAACCAAAAAGGTTGGGCTGGATTGCAGGATGATGTAATTTTAGGCATGCCCTAGTGCTTGCTCAGTGATTGATTTACTCACTCGGCAAGAATTTGATTCCTGTGATGTGTAAATCCAGAATGATATAGAGCATCACCATTAATTAATTATTATTGCTAAGAAGAGACACAATGTCACTTGCTTTACACTATTAGCAAAGTGTAGATATGGAATATCTGCAATTGAGGCTAGCCAAACACACAAATTCATCATTTGGGTCTTCTAGATTTGTATTGTCCTTTTTGGTATCTAGCTACACCTGGCTACTCAAATGTCTACTCAATGTCTAAAACTAGACAGAGTTCAGGAGTCAGTTCCCTGGTCACACGGGGCACATTTTAGGAGCTCAGTAGCCATACTGGTCATGAGATATAATACTGGAAAATCCTCCAGAACATTTCTACCTCCCCAGGAAGTTGTACTGGACAGTTGCATCCTACAGCAAACCAGCAACAATGAATGCGGTGGAGTTTCTGAGAACCGACCTGATTGACCTATACATGAGGCGGCTGGCTGAATGCCTGTGGTTTTGACCTATACACAAGGCAGCTGGCTGAATGCCTATGGTTCTGGAAAACATGATTAAAAATAGTTCACTATTTCAACAAATGCTTCACAATGTTACTTCTGGTAACTTGCCCAGAGGTCCTCAAATTCAGGAATTCTGAATCCATGAACCACAAATTAATGTAATTTACTTTTATTTTGTAGATCGCTCTCTTTTCTTTAACCCTATTCCTGACCACTGGTCATTTCTAACTCTTTCTCTCTCTGCCACTTATACTTACTGTAAATAATCACTTAGTTCCTGGTCGCTATCAGCTGTAAAACATTTGTTCTCTTTGGCCACTTTCCTGGAATGCATCATTAGGCATTTTCATTTGCTTTTGTGGCCTGAGTGAATCTTTACCAAAAGTATTGTCCCTTTCTGACAATATTTGCCAACCAAGCCTTGTTAAAAATAGATAACTTATCATGAAGTTTCCTGTTGTGTATGAATCAGGGACTCTGATCTACAAAGGACAAATGTGTCACCAAGGGAAAGATGTTCTTTTGATGTAGTCAACAAAGTTACATGATGAAATAAACACACATGGATCAGAATGAAGGTCAGAAACCATGGGCTGGGGGTTCTTTTCATTAGAAAAGGGATAGCACTCAGCAAGGAGAGGGTGAGGTCACAGTCATACTGTCACAACTCTTGCTGGCCCCATAGTCCATTGGAGATTTTATTCTAATGAGAAAAAGAATGCTAAAGTTTTTTTTTTAATCTTTGGTTGTTTTGTTTGTTTATTTTACCTAAATACATGTTTTCCCCATTCTTCCAGAGCTATGATGGCATGCTTGCATGTTCTCTCCTGTCTCCTGATGATGTGATGTGGTCTTAAGCTTAGCATGTCACCAAAGTCCTCCCTGACCCCATCTCTGTCCCCCCTGCCTCATCATCTTTAAGACTCCTTAGGAAAGGAATCCATAGTGGTGCTTTGTAAATGCCTCATTTCAGCTGATGTAAGCTGAACAGGGCCAGGGGCAAGCCCACAGGCTTCGAGGGAAAGATGTGACATCGTTATCTATCATCTCCACCCAATGGATACCAAAGATACAGACCTCAGAATCTGTTCTCCTACCTTTTCAACCCTTGTGCTCTTTCTCCCAAGGCCCACTGAGATGTCGCCATCCAGTCTACCACCCCAGGCAAAACGGTCACCACCTCTATGTTAGGCTGTGCTCAACTGTCTTCACACAGCAGTTCTGAGAATGATGTCAGTGGGGACAAACCCAAACCTGTGACCTCCCTGCTTAAAACCTCTTTTTTTTTGGTCAGGATAATGACCAGAGGCTTGGCCTGTCCTATTAGGTGATCCCTGCCATACTTAAACCTCACCTAACCACATTCCCTCAGTGCTGTTGTCATGCCTTGCAAGCTATTATCCCCAGACCCCCTTCAATTCCTGTAAGAAGCTCATTCCTGCCTTGGGGCTTTTGCACATGTGGTCCCTGGTGCTTGAATTACTCCCTCCCAGTTCCCTCTCACTCAGTTAACTCATGCTTATCCTGTGTGAAGATCCAGTGAGGACTTCCTTTTCACAATCGTCATTTCAAACTCTTCTCCCCCAGACTGAAGCCACCTTGGGCTTTTGCTGTTATAAGAGTGACTGACTGACCCTTTTCAGTGAGACTTGCAGGCTCCACAGGCAGTATTTCTCTTTTGCTTTCTATTGTATTCTCTGTTCTGACCAACAACTAGACTGGCCATAGAGGTATCAAGACACATTTGTTGACTAAATAACAAACAGTAGCTTAGGTGACCTGCCCCCATAGGAAATGCACAGATTTTTAGGACCCCGGCTTCAAGTCTCAACTCTGCCATTTGTAAGTCAGGTCATCTCGGACAAGTGAAGATCTCTCTAAGCTATAGTTTTCTCATTAGTAAATCAGCCATAACAGTATACAATGAAGGTTCCAGAAGGTTTCCAACGAGACACACTCATTATCATCACCATCTCCAATTTAGAGACCAGAGATTGGAAATCTGCTGAGGCCACACATCTCCCCAGAAATAAGTGACAGACACCCCAAAGGAAACAGATAGTAACATTTTTTATTAAATATTACAGTGGATCAAAAAGTACAAAATATCTCTTGCCTGCTATGTGATTGGGAAACTATTGGCACGGAATACAGTATCAAAAGCAGTAATAAGTACAATTTGGAAAACATACAAAATTGAGTGTTTATAGTTGGCTCAGCATTCTTCTGGTAGTGTTTAAGCTAACGCAAAGGTTACTCAATAACCTCTCCATTGGGAAATTATATAACATCACTGGGCCAGGTTGTTATATACAAATGATCACCTTACAGAGCATAGAGGTTACATAGCTGGAGTCACTCAAAGTGTACAATATTTACAACACAGGGAAGTTTAAAAAAGTATAAACAGCCAAGAGATTATGCTGCTTTTTTTTTTTCCAGAGGTCTTTCCGCCATGGGGAGACAAGCAGAATATCAAATACATCAACAGCCAACACTGGAGGCGAGGTGCTCAGAGTCACTTCTCCAGGGGTGTGGGTCTCACCGGGGCAAAATCGTTCCCGTTACTCTCTCAGCTCGGGACAATGAGTCAAACTAGACCACATGGGACTTGGCTGACCACCACCAAATGTGACTTAGTGGGACAAGAAGTGAAGAGAAATAATGGTTCTCTTTGAAGGCACACTACATAAAATATATTTGTGGGACCACCTTGACATTTCCATCAGACACACCAACACAGTGAAATACAGTACTTGAGGATTCATGCACCAGGTCGCAAAGCTGTGACATCAACACAGAGTCTTGACAAACCCTTCAACATATGCCCTGATGAACAAGTGAAATCCAGAGCTTCTAGCTAGGAAATAAATCAGTCCTGTGGCAATTACTACACATTTGAATCACTTACTAGGAAAAATACTTTAAACCTAAAGCTTAGTTGGGCCATCCTGGTAGCTTATTTTTACTTTAAATTTTATTTTTAAGTCAAATTTACCAAGAGTTGGGCCAGAAGTTGCATGGAGAGGTTATATTTTTAAGTATCATTTAGAATATCCAAGTCTCCAATAATTCAAGGGCTTAGTGCATTTTGAGTTGCAACATTTCTCAGAAGCCTCACTTGGTAAATGGATTTATGACTCCGGTGCCAATTGAATTCCACAGTTTCCTTTACAGAACTACCAATAACAATGGTTTGACTGCACAAAGAAAGGCTTGTGCGATGCCATTCAATAATAAGGCCCCTTGAACTCAAACAATGCAAACAAAGCCTGATTTAAGACTTTTTAAAACATCCTTCTCAGCCAATGAAAAATTCAATGGTCTTTTTGAAAGATTCCCAAGTTCTCTGTTTGGAGTTTTAAAATAAATAACACGCCGCTTCTGTTCTTTGCATTTGCCCTGATGTTTTGCTGAGGGTCTGAGCTTCCTTCAACAGATATAGTGAGTCTCCTCTCCGAAGAGATGAGAAAAACAATAGCTGGACTATGTTGACATTGTTTGAAAATGGTGTGATCGAACTCCTACACGATGAACACATCTCAACTCACCACACTGAGGAAAACAATCGCCCCATCTTGCAAATGAGTGAGCTAGTGGGATGGGGCGGGGGGGGGGGGGCACAGACATCCCCATTTTCTTCAAGAAACAAACTCACAGGGACCACGTATGGATCCAACCCATGCCTGCTGCAGAATCCCCTTTCTCTTCTTCTGATTCTGTGATCATTCAATCTAGTGCAACTTTCTCATACTGTGTCCTGGCCAGCATCATGCTGACTGGAATTGAGACTCGCCCCCGCCACACACACACACACACACACACCCTTTCTTGTGTAACAGCAGAATAATCTGCATGTACACATTTATGATCTAAGTTATACTAGTCTATCTATGGTCCTATTAAATATAATATATATATATTATTCCACAGGAAGGTAAATAATTAATTGAAGCGAATGGAACTCTTAACACTGGGTTGCTACATTCTTTTGTTTCCACCTTTGGATAGCATGTTACTACATGGACTATTTGGCTTCATATCATGAGGACATTTCAATACAAATGAGTGGCATGCATGGCTTTGCATAAGGACCGCCGTTTCACGGTCACTGGTTTTGATTATTTTTGTAGTTGAGTTACCTATTCAGAGATGTTGAAAACTGTCATCAAGTTTCATAGACTTAAATATGTCAGAGGTAAAAAAATCAAAAGACTTGGTTAACTATGGTCCTAGAGTCTACTGGTAGTGTCAGGGGAGAGGAGGGCAATGGGCTGGGAACTTCTCAAAGCAGCTTGTGGCAGGGTTGGGTGGAGACAGGAAAGAGAATCCACTCTACGGATCCACTTGCTACACTTAGCAGATGTGGTGCCCCGGAAGCAAATGGAATCAAGTGTCAAGAGTGACAGTCAAAAAAACTCCCAAAGTGGATAGATAGCATGGCCATGGGATGAAAAACTTGATACAAACCACTTTACGTGTACACATCCTCATCAAACCCACCCCTTGGGAAGCCAAGGAGGATGGCTTTCTCTTGAAACAGAACATGCAATTACTCCTCCAAGGTGCCACCTGGTATCTTGCTAGGAAACTCTAGAAGCCAGCTGATGTTGACAATAAACTCTCCCACTCAATGGGCCAAGGCCTGGCTGGGATGCCCCGTGGTCAGACCTTGAGTAGCTCCCCCTCTGCTGGACAGTCACACACCATCCTTTCCCTTCTCCAGACCACTGAAAAAGGTGCAGTTCCAACACCAGCATGAGTCACCCTGGCACTTGTCTTAAGTTCTGAAATTCCTAAGACGTCTGCACAGCCCACGAGCGTGTCCTCTGGACTGTGTGATGCAGTGGCTTTTTGCCAACAAGGTTTTTGTTTTACGATTTCTCTGGTATGTAGGACGGGTTCACAGCCTAGATAAGGTGAGTACAATGCCTAATATTTTCACATAATCCAATACTTCAAAGCAAAGCATTTGGCTGGAGAGGCAGTGTCTAAGGTCTCTCAACTATGCCACTTATGAGGAACGGAATCCTCCAGGCGCAGACCCGCAAAGGCACAGGCTTTCTGCTAGCTCGTGATCTCCACGGGTTCTTTTCAGTCTGTTCCACTAAAATCAGTTGCTTCAATTTGTAAACAATAACTTGACCACCCAAAGCTGCTCAAAAGAAGGTGGGGGGGAGGTTGATAAAATACACGTCAACAACTAGGAGAATCAGTCAGCCTTGCAAACAGAACAAAACAAAAAATCAAAACAAAAACAGAAGACCTGCAAATAGAAGGGATATTGTTTAATTAAAAAACAAACAGACAGATAAACAAACCAAAAAAAAAAAAAATACCCCAGGGCAGGAACAAGAAAGAACCAAGAGAAAACAGAACTATCTGTATATAAATTAGGTTGAGCAAACAGTGATCCGGGTAGCTTTAAGAAGCGAATATATACAGTTTAACAGTGTTTACTTCTCTGGATTGTTCAATAGTGTCAAGAATGAAAGGTCTCTTTAAGTTTTACTATACATTGCATTGATTGAACTTGGTGAGTCTTATGAAAAAGAGGGGCGTCCCATGGCTATCACTTGCCAGTCTTTCTTACCCTATCCTTTGAAAATCCTGCCCCCCTCCCCCACTTTTTTGCCCAGATGTCTTTTCTACCATCCAACCTCAGAGGGTTCCTCTGAGTTCTTCTGGGATAGACACAGATACCCTTCACAAAGACCAACATGAAAAGGAAATGACCTGGAGGCCCTAGGCCATCTGTGTTGGAAGGGAGGTCACAACTGGCCAGCCAGGCTAGGGTTGTCCCCAAAAAGGTAGTCATGTTCAGCTGGCCTTTAGGCCTCTATGGCTGGGACGAACTGTACCACCAGATTAGAAGGAATACTGACTTCCAACTCTGTAAGCCAGCCTTCCAGGGTTGGTGCTTTGACCCCGCCGCCGTTTGAGGATGCTGGGCACAGCGGGGCTTACAGTTTTGTGCTGGGGTGTACAGATGACAGCTGAGACGGTGGGAAGGCAGCCTGAGGATTGATAGCAGCTAAAGGGTAGATGCTATTGTGCAACAGGTCCCCGTAGGAGCTTCCTACCGGCGTCGCTGCGGCCAAGTGTCTGTAGAGCTGCTGAGAATTAGTCGGCGATGTAAAAATTCCTCGTTGCATCACAAGCGAGTGGAAAGCCAGAGGCTGCATGAGAGGAGAAAGCACCGTCTGGTTCTTCAAGTACTGTAGAGAATGGGAGTAGCCGGCCGGGAGCCTGGAGTTGAGGCCTGAGTTACACAGGCTACCAGAATACAAACCTGGGAAGATAGGCGAGGAGACAGGAAGCTTGTGGCCTTCCGACGCAGCCCCAGAATGCCCTCCGTAGGCTCCTTTGCTGCCCTCGCTCTCCTGTTCAGAGGCCTTTTCTTTCCCAGAAGCCTCCTTGGCTGGGTCCAAGGGAGACACAGCCCTGGCTTTTTTGCCGGCAATCACAAGATCTAAGTCCTCCAGGCTGCGCTTTATGGGGCGAGCAGCTCCAATGTTCTGAGGGCTCATCTTCCTGTGTAGGATGGGATGGACCATGCCTTCCATTTTTCTGAAGTTCTCCAGTCTCACATGGTGAGGTTTTCCAGACCTTGCAAGCGACTCGGGGTATTTTTTAGGAGCCGTCATGGTCATGGGCGATACCCGGCAGGCTTTGGGGTGACAGTCTCGACTCTGGTTGCTGATGACCTGGAACTGGGAGGCGCCTTTGATCTCCTGGGAACCTGAGGCTGGGTGGGCCAGGCCCAGGACTTTGCTGGTTAGTTTCTGTGGGTTCTTGGGAAGGCTCAGGTCTGTTGGCTGATCATCTCTAGAGGGTTCCGCCTCAGCCGACTTCTTATCTTGCAGATGAATAGAGGCGAGATAATTGACGTGGACCTTGTCTGGGTGCTTGTGAGAAAGAAAAGCGCTGTTTTCAGACTCCTGGTACATGTCCCTAGAGGCATACTTGGACGACTGCTCATTGTGAAGATGGTGTTCTGTGTGGCGGTAGAGGCTATGGAGATGCGGGGATGAGTAGAAGTCGGCCAGGAAACTGGGCACGTGGGCGTGGGAGACAGCTCTTTTCTCTAACAGTTTGTCCTTGCCCTCCGGTGCCTCTTGTTTTAAGATGTAGGAGTCGGCCAGAGGGCTGAGCTGGTGCTTGGAGAAACCGCAGCGGTGAGCATCAGAGCGACTCAGTTTGTCGTGTTTGAAGATATCATTGATGCTCTTTCTCTCCTCGGAGGCCTTGTTTTTGAAACTCTGGACGTGTTGGATGACGGATGGCCGGCTGACGGCCATGTGGTCAGAGCTTTGGCTGTGATGGGCCTGGGACAAACCCGAGCACAGCTCGTCCCTGGCGATCAGTTTCTTTTTGCTGATCAAAGGCGGTGGGGAGCCGTAGGGGTAGCTGCTGGAGAGGCTGGCCCCACTCACCTGAGACAAAAGTTTTTTCTTGGCCAGCGGGGACATGATACCAGGGTTGCCCCGGGAGTAAAGCAGGGGTGTGTAATTAAGTCCGTGGTTCTCGTTCATGGGCCCGGTCAAGTCTTTGTCTTTAAACATGTCAAATGATTGGACCACAAGGACCTTCGGGGTCTGTTTGAGGGCTGTGTGGATGTCGTCACTGCCCAGCTGGTCCACTTTCACAGTGCAGTTGGCAATGTAATTAGCCATGGCCGGAAGCTTGTCTTCCTCTGCCTCGTTCTGGCTTGCCAGTGGTGTCTGGGTGGCAGGGAAGCTGGAGAAGGGTGCTTCTTGGAGGTCATTTTCAGGGCTCTCTGTAAAGCAGCAGGGTTTGGCTTCTTGTTTTGAGTCCATCTGGGCACTGGGAGAGACAAGGGGCTGTTTGCCAGCCCCAGGGGTAGAAGCCGAATCTCTTTCAGGAGGCAGGGGAGGGCTTGGGAGCAAAGGGGCCAGACCCTTGTCTACCACCTCCTCAGCCTCCTTGTCACTGTTAGAACCTTGGTCAGTTTCACTGCCCTTTTCTGGGTCTGCTCTGGACACCGGGGCCCTCACAGGAAGGTCCTTGTATCCTTCCATTTTCTTCTTTACTTCTGGAGCAGGGAGAGGCTCTGTGACGCTTTTCTGGTTTAATGTCTCCTCTTCCTTCCCTTGATCAGAAGAGACCTGGACAAACATTGTAGGAGACAATTAGAGGAGAACCAACCATCACACAGAGCAGGCTTGTCAATCAGCTCACCCAGTTTTCACAAGGCTTTATTACTCCCCAATCATGGCTCTAAACAAAGAAATCCAAATTACAGAAACATTCGGGGAAATAAGCATACTCGCTCCAGCCCCTTATAAGACACCTATCAAAACAGAGCGATGTAGCAGTGTTCGGCACACTCATGTCACTCCTTCCTTCTGATATATAGTTTAATTCTAAAGTTGTCTTCTTATCAAATCAGTCAATTATCCAAATAGGTTTTAAATTACACGTTGCATTTTATGACATTTCTCTGGGAGATTTAAAAAAAAAAGCATCTCTCACTCAAACAATTGAAGCAACCTCGCGTCAGTAACAAACAATAAACTTAACTCCTGGCCTTTCCTTGAGAACTGTCCCTTCCTAAGGAATTCAGCAGGATCCACCGTAAACTAGCTATGCTTACACATTAATCATGCCTTAGACCTCCACAATGTGTATGTCTTGTTAAAATACCAAAGACATGCAGATGGATGGAGTGTGTGCACCCAGGGATAGGGAGTATTCTAAATCCTTCTATGACACACAAAACTCATGTAATTCAGGTGGGCAGTGTTACCCCAAGTACAGCTTTTCTATTTATTGAAATAAATCGTCCTCAAGGGGGTGGATACTTCCTGTTTGGGGTAGCTACTGGCACAATTCAACCCATTATATACTATAAGCTTTAACCTTAAATGTGAATTTAACTTTTCACCTGTGATACAGTCGGTGGACAAGCTTTTCCATGTTCCATCTGACATGCCTTGGTGAGACAGTCATGAAACATTTGAATTAAGTCGGTCCCCAATCCCTTGGCTCAATCACATCACCAGAACATTTTTCTACAGTGAAGAAACCACCATATCTTTAAGGATAACTAAAAATGTTGGAGGCTATTTAGGAAACTATATATATTTTCAAGGGCTCATACCCATTTTTCGGATATTTTCTCTCAAATCTACATGAAGATAACCCTGCTTACCAGGCATGTGTGATACCCAAGAGCCTACCCCCTTCTTGCGATAATAACTGTATTTTAAGTGCAAATATCTTTGTTAGTTCTACACTAATAATCATTTGTCTCTTGAGCTTATACAATCACATTAAAAGACATAAAATTGAGTGACTGCAAAAGGCAAATTGAGTTCAAAATTCTTCAAAGTTTCTGTGACCTTGGCCTTCAGCTACATTGGAGTTTCACATGTCTGTATACAAACCCGGTTTAGGGATGGATTTGAAAGTAGAGCCAATAAAAGTAAAAGTGTTTGTTTCTGAACTTCCCGGGTCTGTTCAAGGATAACGTCTTACTCTGTACTTTGTAATCCCTGAGGATAGTGGATTTCACTAGAGCCCTCCTCCCTCTATTGAGTTTAGTGCTTCAGATTGAAAGCATCAAAAACTACAATATGGCATTAAATGCAAATCTGGAGCCAGGCTCATAGACATGCTGAATTCAGAACCTACGTAGCCCATGAACCTGGTTCTTACTGAATGGATCATTTCAAAGGGGTTGAGACATCAGGACTTCATCGGACAGATTAAAAGCTCCAGATGCCCAGAGCCCACTTCTGGAAAGGGAATCATTGGCAATAATAGAATTATTTCCTTTGAAGAAAAGGGAGCCCCCTCAGCTGTCAGAGGTTTGCTGGACTCTTTGTAGCAAGGCTGCTCACTCTGCTCTTGGGAATGGTCACCTCCCAAGCTAATGGGCTCCATAGGTGGACTAAGGAGCCTTCCTACAGTTTACAAAGTCACTGTTTCAAACTTTCCCCACTCTGATGGAGCCATTCAGAGGTCAGCTGATCCCATGATCCTCCAAGCATCCGATGGTTCTTTGGCTGTGTTGTGCATCTGGTGTCTAATAGAACTGACCAATCCAAAGCCCTGTGATAAATCACCAAGCCAGAAGGATCAAGGAGGAATAGGATGTAACCCTTAACTTGGAATTTCCTTGCTTTGGGCCATTTATGTTGCAAACTTTCAAATGTTCAGAAGTCTGCAGCATCTTGTATTTTCTTCCTTTTGGAGTTACTAGCTCTTTAAGTAATTATAAAACTTAATAAATCCAGGTCTGGCTCAGACTGGGACAGTAGGATTGTGAGTTCAAGTGCTTCCTGGGCTACAGTATGAGTTCAGGGCCACCTTCAGCAACTTATGAAGACCCTGTCTCTAAACAAAAAGCTAACAAACATTCAGGAATGTGGTTCAATGACAAGACATTTCACTAGTGTGTGCAAAACATGAGGTTTTAGGTTCTGTCTCCAGTGAGGCAAAGTATTAAAATTATCTTTTTAAGGAGGAATCAGCTGGGAGTTGGTGTGTGTGTGTGTGTGTGTGTGTGTGTGTGTGTGTGTGAGAGAGAGAGAGAGAGAGAGCGCGAGAGAGAGAGAGAGAGAGAGCGCGAGAGAGAGAGAGAGAGAGAGCGCGAGAGAGAGAGAGAGAGAGAGCGCGAGAGAGAGAGAGAGAGAGAGCGCGAGAGAGAGAGAGAGAGAGAGAGAGAGACAGAGAAACAGAGAAACAGAGAAACAGAGAAACAGAGAGAGAGAATGCCTGTGTTTTAAACTGGCAGTTAATGAATCTGGGTCTTATGTGTTCATTATAAGCCTGATTTTTAGAGAGTGTTTAATATCAGTACCCAAATTCCCTCAGGGGGTTGAATCCTAGAACATGCTGTCTCCGAATGTAACTGCTTTTTTTTTTTTTAATGGGCAACAGAATTTTTTATTATTCATGAGGAAACAGAGCCCAGTTCAGCCTTGTTGGTAGGCTGGATGCTGCCAGTCATGCTTCCTGCTGAAGAGCTTCTAGCACTAAGGCTTTCGGTTAAGGCTAAGGTTCAAAAACCACCTCTTAAATGAGATAGAGTAATGGTTTCTGTGGAATCACTTCAACATTTCTCCATGGACAACACAGACCAAAGATTTTGCTAAATTGGTCTCGACCCAAGGATACTGAATAGAGGTCAAGAATGAGAAGCAAATATCCCTAAAATTTGGGACAGGAACTCGAGGAGACACTCAGGGATTTCATTAGCCCTCTTTCCCTGATATCTGCTCCCCAAGTCACACTGACTCCTTAAATAAAACCCCCAAGAAAGTTGTGAAACCCCCAAGAAAGTTATGTTTACTCTGGGGAATCCTGAGTTTCAGGAGGTATTAGTTTGGTCTCCAATTCTGAGTCTTTGCTCCCAGTTTCCTTCAGGGTATTCTCATCTTTCTAGATTCTTCTAGATTCTTGTCATAACCTATGACACTCTTCACCACACATTGCATCATTGTATCTAAGCTCCCAAGGGAAAGAAAGCTTTGGAGCTTTAAAAAGATTTAATTAATTAATAATTACTATTAATTTGGTCTCTCTCTCTCTCCAGCTTTCTAAGTGTGTGTGTGTGTGTGTGTGTGTGTGTGTGTGTGTGTGTGTGTGTGTGTAGGTGCCCTCAGAAGTCAGAAGAGGGCATTGGATTCCATGGCACTGTAGTTACAAGCAGTTATGAGCTGCCTTCTAAGATAGGTGCTGAGAACCGAACTTAAATCTTCTGGAAGAGCAACAAATGTTCCTAAGTGCTGAGCCATCTCTCCAGTTCATAAGAGGGGGGGTTTAAAAGTTACTATTTGAGAATTTGTTTGTTTTATGTACATGTGTGCAGGCCACTGGACAACTTTCCACACAGATCCAGTGCTCTCCTTTCACCACATGTGTACTGCTCAAACTCATGTCACCAGGCTTGGCGGGAAATGCCTTTACTCACAGAGCCCTCTTCCTAGCCCAGCAGCTTAGAGCTGCTAAGCTGTGACTCCTCAGAGCAGCCATGAGATACACAGAGACCCAGCTGGAGATTCTGGGGTCAGGGAGCCCCAGAAGCAGAGTGTGTTTCCCAGGGCTGGTGTCTCTGAGAGGCACAGCGACTCACCTCAGATGTATCCTGGGGCTTTGGTGTATTCTCTTTTTCTTTCTTATTTTTGGGCAGTTCATGTTTTATGCGTTTGGCTCCCGATACTTTTGTTTTATTCTCATTTTCCTGTGAATTGTTTTCCTGTTTCCGAGGTTTGATTGGAGGCAAAGGCTTATCTTCTTCTCCCTTGATAAACCTTTCATATGGTAGGATTAACCTAAAAGGAAAGAAGAAGAGATAGTACATCAGTTGGCCAATCCTAATGGCATCATCACTCTGGAGCTTGTTTCCTCTTCCTGTAGTAGTCCCGCCCTCCATCTATAGAGATGCATTCTATGACTCTTTGTGGATGCTGAAACTCATGAGTACCAAGTTCTTTCTCCATCCTATACTTTCCCGGTGCTTGAATACCTAATAAAGTTTAATTTATAAATTAGGCAGAGTAAGAGATTATTAGCTGTAACTAATAAAATAGAACAATTATAACATACTGCAATAAAAGTTACATAAATGTAACTGTCTCTAGCAAGTCAAGACGAATATTGTTTTCCAACTATGGCTGACCAGAGGTAGCTGAAACCAAGCAAAGCAAAACCATGCATAAACATATTGTTGAGTAGCCTCATCATTGTGTAGTGGTATCATCACCGTGACATGAATTCTTCCCAGAGAGTAACTCTATGTAACCTACTTTATTAGTAAAACTTGGTTATCTGGTCAACTAAATGTTCTCTGAAAGACTTCTCTCCTTTTGACTTTATGATCTGACCCACCAAGGATACCAATGGAAGTAGCCAAGACTGACATTGTCATGATGGCCCATAGCACTTGGCTGATTGCCAATGATATCAGGACAATAATGACAGCTACTGTCCATTTACTATTCTGTCAAATGTACATGGAGTCAGGCACCACTCCAGATTCCAAAATACAGCCATGAATGAAACATTCATAGCCTCTGACCTCATACAGCTTCTATTCTAAGGCAGGCTAGGTACAAGATGTAAATCATTCCATTTAACCCCCCACCACATCTCTTCATATTATTGTCGTCATCACCACCATCATCCCAAGATCAAACAGAGAGCCCGAGGGTCACAGCATCTGTTAGACCTGGAGCTTGAATGTCCTTGCATCTCTGGCCAGAGTTATCATTTGTGTTCACCTTAAAATGTAGATCTGACATGATAATTTGAAAAAAAAATGCTATCATGAAACCCAACCCTAGGTACAATGAATATACACCACTGGAATACACATGTTTTTATGTCTATAATACAAGTATAACACTGATTTGACACTGTTCACCTCCACACTTAAGATAAAAAGGACAGGAGGAAGCACACTCAGTTTGGCCAAGACAGATGTTGTATACTCTCACCCTGAAGATCATCAGGAGAAGGTCTGTTTTTGTTTTTTGGTTTTTTTTTTTTTTTTTGAGGGGGTGTACCAAGTTAGAAAGGGCCCCAGCAAGGAGGAAACCAGCTAACCACGAAAGCAACAAAAATCAGAGGGCTGAAAAATCCGAGCATTTTAATTACATAACTTTTACCAACAAAGTGCATAAAATTGCTCTAAAAAGAGAAACATCAAACAGCTCTGGTTTTAATCTGCTCCCTTTGCGACACAGCTCTCCATCTGAACAGGGAAAGAGCTGATGTAATTAAAAGGCACGGATTGCATTACAATCCGAGTTTCGACTCCAGTGATTAAAGTTTTTCTAATGCATTTGGTATGATTAATGACTCACTGCGGGATTAATACAAGACTCAGCCTTAAAAATATGAACCTTAATACAGCAAACATCATTTGTTTTAAATACGACAAGTTGACTCAATGAAGAAAATGTACTTGGCTGACAAAAAACAATCTGTTCAAATATTGGGAATTCTTTATTTTTAAACTAAGACACCCGAGCCAAAAAAAAAAAAAAAAATCCCTGATTTGGAATATTTGTTGAGTATCTTAAAATTGGTTTCTGATTGTACAATTTGTTTACTAACTAATTAAATATACATACACTCCTGTTCCAGGTTTCACATAAAGACATGGGGATATTTGAGACATTGTTAGTCCATTCTTTAACAACAAAGCAAATTGTGGGAAAGTCGAATGCCAATTTATGGTATTTTAGGATCCCAATCCATTCACTGAGCATGCTCAGACAAGGTATGTGCAAGGAGGCATGGATAATACTTTCGAGGCCTCTGTCTGGCAGTGGGCCAGCCACGAAGATCAACACAACCCATGGGGGATAGTTATCTTCAGATCCCATTACAGCCCGAGTTTAAACATGTTACAGCTGCTAAAACTGGAAACTGCTCTCTTCATGTAGACTTTACTAAAATAATATATGGTTGCCAAATACCTGCTTCCCACCATAATATTACAGTGCGTGTTTATATAAGGAAAAGCATAACTATGCAGAAGAGAGAAAAAGGCAGTCTTGTTCATACTTGAATTTATTCTGTCTCATCTTTAAAATCCCTGACTTATTCCCTCCAGTTCCTCTGTCCTCTGCATTTTTCTACCAGGGACTTATTTCCTTCTCCACTATCACAAGGTAAGGGATTTTTCAACCAGGAACAAAAATGCATTGAATATTTTAAACTGGAAAAATATTTTAAATTGATTTTAATGAAAACACATTTTATTGTCGGGACAGATAGGTTTGTTGTGCTTTTGTTTTGTTGCCATGGGAACCAAGGCGCTCAGAAGCACTGGTATTCTAACGGTTGCCATTTGTGATACCTCCCTTCCCCCCAGTTCCCTTGTCTAATGGAGATGGTGACATCATGAGGGACCCTGTTTCTTAAGAATGACATTACTGAGTGTGAGGAGGAGAGGGAAGGAAAGCAGAGAACAAGGTGGGGGACATATCTAGGTACCCTAAGAAGACCCTCACTCGGGTACTGACAGCCTTATGCTAACCCAGCTCTCTAGTACACATCCAGGAGGAGTATGATTTTTGTCTTACAGTTTTTTTAAGTTCATGAGGCTGGGCAATATTTTCAAATTCTCTGTCTGTCTCTCCTCTCTCTCATCTTTTCTCATTTTGACTCAACTTAACAGCTGGCGAGCCTTCAATAACACAAAATATATTTTCACTTTGCTGGTCAAAGGCCTGAAGCCAAAAGGCAGGAAATCAGGAATTAAATATTTCTTGTATCTGGAAAGAGGCATGACTAAGGGTAAAACTGAATCCAAACACAAGCTCTGCTTGTTCAAAGCTTCCAGAGGGTGTGTGTGTGTGTGTGTGTGTGTGTGTGTGTGTGTGTGTGTGTGTATGTGAAGGTCAACTGAATGTGTGTTTTTTTTTCTACTTCTAAATCACTGGAAGATAATTATAGTTGCTCAAAGGGAGAAAAAAGCTCCTAAAATAAAACAACAGAGGCATCAGCGGAACAGAAAGCAGTAGAAATATGAGCTCTGAAGAACAGGGCACATTCCCACAGAGTACATAAACAAGCCCTGTTTCGTACAGTGACTTCCGTTCGTGGTGATTTCCTTGAGTGTTTTTGTTGAGTTCTTCTGTCACGGTGCCGCACAATTACCCCACAGGATGTGATCTTATCAACTGATTATTAGAAGTTTTTCTTTTACAGCACAAGAGGCCAAAAGCTATGATAGGTTCCTGAACATTTCAGTGTTCAATGCACACATGCTATCATTAAAAACAGGTTAGCCACTATGAGAGCAACATTGCCCAATACAGGAAGCTGTGCAGGTTTGTATCCGGTGGAAGAATGCAGTGTAATGCAGCATGCCAATGGCTCTCAGAGGATGGGTTCTCAAATATTTGTGGAACAACAAAGATTTAATCAACTTCGAAACTGTACAGATAAAAAGCAAACATACATGCCCCTCCCCAGCACAGACAGCAAAAAAATGTCTCCATCACACAGAAGATATATTTTCATTGTATTACAACTCAAAGAATGTAGACTGAGTCTTGGATGGGTGGAAGAGGAAGAATACATTCATTAGTAAACCCATATAGACCCCCCCACCCATCTCCATCTAGGTTAGAGATTGAAAGCTCGGGAGATAAATGGGCCTTTCCTCTTGTCCAGATTTCATATTTCAGATTAGCAAAATGCTTATTTACGATGCCATTAATGGATGTGAACTAGGTAAGCTAACACACACACACACACACACACACACACACACACACACACAAAACAGCTTTTCCTAGGCATAAGATTTGGCGCAGCATGAGATTTTATTTTTTTCCCCAGGAATAATACAAGAATAACATTTTTCCACCTCAGAGCAGAAACAGTAGGGGAGCCTTTTGCTATCACAGAGCTCCTTATTAAATTCAGTCACTGTGAAAAGACAGATTGTAACCCCCTCCTTATTTTTCTTCCTTAAAAAAAAAAGGAAGACTTAAAAATCAACCCAAGTTAAAATTAACAAATCAATGGCATTAAAGCCTTAGATTTATTAATGTCTGAGCCAGTAAATTATCATCAGACAAGAAATTGTCAGCTGGAAAATATTGTGGCTTTGCTAAATTCTCAGGCTGAATAATGGCGCTCGGTACACTAGGTTTTTAGATGTGCTTCATCTGATATTATAAAATATTCAATATATTTCTCTACAGCAGAAGTCAGGGGTCAGCAAATCTATTACTGTAATGTAAGAAATCTGGCAACTTGCCAACTCTCCCTTTTGTTATTATTTTTTTTTAAACACTGAGGCAGATAATTTTATATTGACAAAGTCTGCAATCCTCTGGGGTCTTGCCTCTCTCTCTCAACAAAAAGTCAGCAGTCTGATATTAGAGAAATATGCACTGCACATGTCTCGTCATTTATACTTTATACAAAAGAAAAGACCCTCGTATTTATGAACACCCCTCCCTTCCCTGTCAGAAGAGGAAAAATGATGAGGTGTTGCATCCTAATGAGTGGCAATTAGGATGTCTCCTGAATCAATGCGTTTTTGTATGGAAGGAGTGAACTTTTGGGCCAAAACATTTAGCAAATGGTACTTAAGAGGAGAAATGAGAATCCATCTATTTATAGAGAACTCCAAAAAAGGATATTATAATAATGTCCGGAACTGATTCAATTCAGAGAACCAGGGAAAGGAGTTGCGAGTCTTTAGGGTTGGGTTTGAATCTCAAGCCTACCTCAGCTAGTTCATAGGCATGCTCGAAAGCATTCAACCAGGTTTTGAAAAATTCAAGTTTGAACCTTTGCTATAAAG